TAAAAATCCAGTTGTCAGAACTGGATCCCAAAGTTAAGTCCAGACTAGTAAAAGGATGATTTATCCATGATTCTAAAAACATGGAGCTATGGGGTCTTACATATCAGATTCCATACTTCAGAATTGAATTCTGAAGACTGGAGAGTTACTAAGACTGCAAGAAGGCATCAGGTGAGCTCTCTATGAGGAGAGGAGAAATGAAAAGGAGAATGGTAAGAAGTGGGGATCCATGATGAGGGTATACACTAGAGTGAAGAGGCTTGACTTTCTTTAATGGTGTTTTAATAGCCACTGCAGCTTCCAATCAGAGAATCAGTATAACTAGAGCTATCCTTTGAAAGACTGATTTGAAAATTGCCAAGGATCACAAGCTCAGCAGGAGAAATAGTGTCAGCCTAATCCAATTCTCATAACAGCAAACGAAATCCTCAATATAGCATCCACACCCACAGAAATAATGTTGGTATGGTATACCTCTACCCAAGTCTCATATAGAGTGTTCGCTAAATTTTAGGCAAGTAATTATAAATGGATAATTGATGGGCTATAGTACATTCAAAGGAGAAAGAATAAGTCTCAAAATCTTACCTAATAAGGCATGGCTAAGGGAGATATTGACCTCAATTGAACAGTCTATGGCAGCTGTGGGCAAACTATGGCCCGCGGGCCAGATCCAGCCCGTTTGAAATGAATAAAACTAAACAGTTTAAGAACCCATTGTGGCCCTCGAGTCAAAAAGTTTGCCCACCCCTGGTCTATGGGGAGGTTAAAATATATGTCCTCCAATATTCAAAGAATTTTCACAACAAAAAGGATTTGATTTACTACTAGATTAAAAGCAATTTGTCCCCCATTCCTAGATGTGTTAAGAGAATGACAGTTGTACAAATGACTTCTCCCTCAGGAGGGAGCTTGGCTTAATGCCCAGTAGGGGCCTTGGTAGGGTTTCTAAGGTTATCTTGCCATAACTCATTACATGTCAGGGGAGAAACATAATTTGGTTTCGTTTTGCATTTCTTTTTATGTGTCTCTCTGTGTGTATGTGTGCGTAGAAATCATTACTTTCATAGACTGCCTCATGAAAATAAATGAATATTTGGGGAGCACTGCTACACTTCTAAAGGAAGAAGGAAAGCAGATGTGTAATTTATGCGGCATGCGTGATGAATGTACTCCACTGCAGACAATGTCTGCCATTCAGGATATCAAAGCAACAGACATTGCTGCAAGAGGGGAACAAACTGTCATAGAAACAGCCACTGTTCCTCCCACAAGTGGGGAGGAAAGCCATGACACGCACCAGGACGGATTAAAGAAAAATAATGCACACATGAGTTTGGAATCAGCGGAAAAAGAAAACGATACATCAGTGAATGGAGATGTCACAAGGCAAGAAGAGTCTCAGAACGAAATGTTCCCAGATAATGCAGAAAATGGAGATTATAAACAAATGGCACACGTGACTGCTGAAGACACGAACGGCAGCAGGGAAGAGACACATGACATCACCCAGACAACAGAAAGAGAAATTCAAGAGAGCTCAGAAAACCAAAGACAAGAGACTACCACAGCCCCAATAACATGCGATACGGCCAATAAATGCACAAATGGTCTTCTTCCCAATGATTCAAAGAGTCTAAAGCAAAAAGACAACATAATGGAAAAGGAGTAAGTAAATGCAATCAATGGGAGAGATGCTTATCTATGCCTATTCATATGTGTTTTTGTAGTTAGCAGTCATAGCATGTATACATGAATAAAATTTTATATTTACATTTAATATCTCCAAAAGACATTGCAAATCAGTAATTCAGTTTAAATTACTTCTATAAAAATTTGTATGGCTGCTATTACTAATATTGTCTGTGTCTTATAGCTTTAGGAGACAAACATATTAAATACTTTTTAAAGAAGGAAGAAATTGATGATATGAGAAAGTAGTTAAACTGTATCATTATCCAGAATGGGGACACTTTATAATCACTATTTTTTCAATTATAATAAGAAAAAATTAGAAGGCTGCAAAGTGTTCAAAATTTGGGAGAGAATTTCCCAACCTCAGATTTATTTTATTTACATTCCTCAGTAAATTCTCAGGTTTATTTTATCCTATCTAATAAAAAAGTAATATGCAAATTAACCATCACTCAGTGACAAAGATGGTGGCGCCCATAGCGGCTGGGCAAGACACTGGTGGCATCACCCTGGCAATGTGAGCCCAGCAGGCAAGTGGGCACGCAGGCAGCATCCAGCGGGGCCTACTGGGGGGTCACCGAGGCAACCTGCGAGCAGACAAGGGGGGCCCACAGGCAGCACCCAGGAAGGCCTCCTGGGCAGTGGTGGTGGCGACCCATAGGCAGGCAAGTAGGGCTGCAGGCAGCACCCAGCAGGGCCTGCTTGCCCATCTCCATGGTGTAGAGCAGGCAGGCCCTGCAGAGAGCAGAGAACCACAGGGAGTGGGCCCAAGCCATCAGTAGCACATCCCCTGAGGGCTCCCGAATTGGAGAGGGTGCAGGTGAGGGACCTCCCCACCTGCGCTCTCGGGCCTCTAGTTTATAAATAATCATGAATTCCTTGTCAGCAGAGCTCTAGGGGGATCAGGGACGAGCTTTGGGAGGTTCTTAAACCTGAATGCATATTTTCATACCAATTAAATCTCCTTGGTCCAGAGCTTCCATAAAACTTTCAAAGAAACTATGACTTCAAAAAGTATATAAGACTGATTTTTTTTTGTGAATTATCTCCCCAATACAAGTAGGTAATTACCCCTATTTGTTCAAATAAAATACTCACAAGCTATATTTTTTCAGCAAAAATAACACCCTTAGAAGGCAATGTGGAATATGAAAAAAATATATATATCATTGGTTTGTGAGTGAGACAGACTTACATTTTATCTCCTGTTTTATTACAAACTAGTTCTGTGACCCTGGGCAATGTGCTTCATTACTGATTCCTCTTTGTAGGAAATTGTATCTATTTTCTGGGATTACTCAAATAAGAAAATCATGTGAAGGTCCTAGTCCCATGTCACTTTGCAGAGGTTCACGCTAAGCTAAATGTTAGTGTGTTCATTTATTTCACCTCAACAACCCTCACTATCTCCTCCACATGATCAACCTTCACTTGCCCCCTCACTGACACCAGGTATGATGCTCTTTCAGATGCAAGGTACCATTTCAGGACAACACCACAAATGAGTCTGTGATCGCAGGCAAGTCATTCTGCTCACTTTGACTTTAGTCATCTCATTTATCAAATAAGAGGTTGAGCTAGTTTTGCTGTGAGGATACTATAGGTCTGAAAAATCTAATAAATTCTATAGGTGTTCCAGAAGGACATTCAGTGCATGAAAGACCCCCAGGGTACGAAAGAGCGCCACACAAAACAACTGTTGACGTAGCTGCCCATTTCACTTGAGAAAAACATTAACACTTCAGGATCCTCACATTCAGAAATGACTCAAAGCATCCGCTAATGAGTCATTGCTGCATTACTCCCTCTCACACGCCTTTAGGTGTTTTCTAGTGGCTGGTTTCCTCTTTGTGGCCTACAAACCAATTGTGCTTGGCTTGCATATTTAAGAAGATGACTACTCATTGCAATCTCTCAGGCTACAGAGGCCCACTTGACACATAAAAGATGAGTGTTATTAAAAAAAACACCTCCCACAGAATCTGTTGTGATTCCTCTCTGAATAGTTTCTTTTTGGGGGGAAAAAATTCTATTTTTTCTAGTGTAGCTGTCCTCCTATATACAGACTGAAAGGAAAACAAAACTGGAACAAACCCATTGATTATTTTCGAGGCTGGACCTTATCTCTTTGACTAGGGTTAGGATGAATGAAAGCACTTACAGGTCGCCTCACCTTACTTCATCTGGGGCACAGAAGAGAGTCATTCTTCTTGAAGTCATTCTTGAAGGCTGGGTCATTGTATCCTACTAGACAATGTTTCTCATTTTCTGAATTACCATAATCACCACCATCAGAGAATACTTCTACATACCAACGGGCTGGGTAATTTTCTTCTACTTCTATGGGTTCGGGATTATAAATACAAATAAATAACCCTCCCTGCAATTTCAACATATATTTTTAGATGTCTATGCTCAAGTACACTATAAAATTTAAGTTACTAATAACTGAAAAATAGTTAAGACCTGGTAATTCTAAAACTGATTATTTTTAATTAAATTTATTGGGGTGACATTGGTTAACATGAGCATATAGGTTTCAGGTGTGGGTTTCTCTTAAACCTGATTATTAATGTTATATTTTATATAGCTCCTCTGATTTCTCTAAATATATTTCAATTTTATTTCACTTAATCTTTATACTATTGTGAATGAGATATTAGTTTCAGTATGTAAGGCATAAAAATCTCAGGACTTTAGAATGATTTGAGGAAATATATTAGAAAGTTTGAGCTTTTGTGTTAAAGGTGAATGGATTAAATTATTGATTCTACAGCTTACCATCAGTGTAATCTTCAGAAAGTTAAAATTTTTAGACCTCACTTTCCTTAAAACTAGAGGCCTGGTGCATGGATTCATGTATGGGTGGGGTCCTTCTTCCTGGCTAGCAATTGGGCCAGTTGGGCCAATGGGGGCCGGTTGGCCACAGGGAGGGACTGTGAAAGGTTGGCCAGCTGCGGGAGGTTGGCTGTGGGAGCACATTGATCACCAGGGGGCAGCTCCTGCGTTGAGCATCTGCCCCCTGGTGGTCAGTGCACGTTATATCTACTGGATGGTTGTCCAGTTGTAAGGGTCGCTTAGGTTTTTATATAGAGAGAGGGTGATGATATACCTACCTGACCTCATAGTGTGAGGATTAAATGAAATAATGTATAGCCTAATACCTAGCCCATAGAAAAAGCTAAAACTTAGCAATTTTAATAGTAATTATTGATGTTTAAGGTCAAACATAGCAAGTGACTGATCTCAAATTTGAATTTGAGTCTATAAGACTCTAAAATATTTGGCAAAGGTGACTATATAAAAGCAAGAGTAATACACATAGTTAAAATAAACTTTCTGTCAAAATATGCTTTTGGATTGATTCTTTGAGGATTTTAAATATTCTATTTCTGTTTCTAATTACCTTGATTAGTCATAAATTCACAGTACGTTTGTACCTCTCAGTTTTTCTAAAAAATGGAATTATCATCATAAGTTGATCTAATATGTTTAGACAATTCCAATACCAGATATACATTCACTTAAGAATGTATATAACTTAAGAAACTACTCAGGTGTTAGTATTTGGTTTATCAAGAAGCTTCAGCAATCTTCAGATTCATTCACTTAAATAATAACACCAATGAAAATAGTAACAATAATAATAAGTAACATATATAATACTATGTTCTAAGTACAGATTAAAAATACTTTTATTGAATTTGAGAGCGAGAGGAAGGGAGAGGGGGAGAGAGAAAGAAACATCTATGTGAGAGTGAAAATTCGATTGGCTGCCTACAGCACACCCCCCTACTGGGAAT